TAAATAAAGAATTTCGATAAAAACTTATTTTGAAATAAAATCTGCGATTTTTAATAAAAAAAAATTTTATTTACATTTACAGCATATTAATAATTTTTATATAAAAAATCATGCATAAAGTTTGTTTTGTATATAAAAAAAGTAACGAAATTTGTAACGACTCATTATTTTTTGAGTAACGGTAACGGTAACGAGTTACTTTTTGAAATTGGTAACGAATAACGGTAACGAGTTACTTTTTAGAAAAAGGAACGGTAACGGTAACGAGTTACTTTTATAAAGTAACTTTCCCAACCCTGCATATTTCCATATACACTGTATGCAAAAATTACATTCTATTAATAAAAACAATTTCTTAATGACTTTTTAACAAACAATGAGCGACGCATAAAACTTTTGAAATGTTACTCAGCGATATATTCTTGATACTATATGTCAAGAAGGAACTCATCGGAGGTGACTCCCCTAATATAAACAATTACCAGCGCATACTATTCAATGTGACGTCAATATTTAACTTGCGATAAAAGTTTGTCCAATCAACTACAGTCCTATCGCAAATCTGCAATTCTTCCATAAGGAAGCTCTCGGAGGACGTATGTATAAAAAATAAGCAATAAATCGGCATGTTTTTGCCAAGCCGAGATGTCCCTTGGCGAACCAAGTGTTATGTAAAATGCTTATTTTAAAATTACATACATTTCGCTATTTTTTTCCGTCCACGTACTTGCTTGTAATATTTTTTTTATACAGCGGAGTATTAAGGAATCCGAATCGCTCGTGGTATTTATGATGTTATTGCACCGCGGACATGTCGTTTCTCGCTGAATAACCGTTTTATCACGCAAATATTCCAAGAACTACTGTTCGTTGTGCGTAAGATGTAGAAACTCGTGCAGTAACATTTCGCGAATATTCTAGCATGCTTTATAACTAATACTATTGGCTGCTGAGATTCGACTAATAGAGGATACCGAATTCGACGTTTTAGCATTACTTTGTATGTTCTACAAATATCTATGTAATATATTCACATGTCCAATGCGATATTTCTGTTTATAAACACTTTAGTTTGGTACATATCAACGGTATCAATTACTATAATTATTACCTACTTTTCGAAATAATTTCATACAATGAACAAATTTCAACATGCGTTTTACAACAAATTCAGCTTTGGCGTGCGCAAAATAACGTACGAAGTAATATTTCCGTCGATCGTAAATTTTTAATTTCTTTTGTTAATAACTTTTTAACAAATAACGAGCGACGGCTAAAACCTTTTGAATGTTACTCAGCATGATGACCTTGATAACATACGGCAAGATCATCGTTCTCAGAAGGTGGTCTGTTTTTGTCAATATTCACGTAAGCCTCTTTTAGAGGCTTATTTATCGTTAAAAAAGAACTTACGATATATCGCATGCACTAGAATCTTTTATTTTCTCATGATGTACTTTGGACCATTATGAGACCATTATGACCATTATTTTATCCATCATTGACCGATCCTGTATATTCCGTTTTATTTTAAATTAAATTAATAATTTCCTATCTTTTTTCATTGTTGTATGACATTTTAGCAATTTTTGTCTGCATATTAGTGTTGTGAAAAATATCTCAGCCAGAAGTCGAACCTGGACTTTTCCACATACCGGGCGAACATCATAAACCAACTGCCACTTATATGATAAACTCGTAAATAAACAAGGAGCAGGAGCGCGGGGGTTTATATTATTATGTTGAAATTGTAAGGAAATTTATAATGTTTATAATAAACGACTTTTTTCAGATTATTGCAAAGGAGAAGTCAGAGAATTTGATATGCTCTCCTCTGAGCGCTGATGTTGCTTTGAGCATGGCTGCAATTGGCTCTGAAGGGAAAACTAAAGAACAATTCAAGAATGTTCTCAAACTTCCTGAAACGCAGCCGCAGACTTTAGAGGGTTACCAACAACTCATTAGTAGTTTGAATGTAATTATTAAACTATAGAATACATAGAATTTAATCTTCGAGTGATGAGTCAGCGAAAACAATACAGCTATTCTTCTCGCAGGATGTCGACAACGTTACCTTGAAACTCGCTAACAAGATATTCATCGGTCAACATTTTCCAGTGAAACCTGAATATAAGAACGCTCTCCAGACTTATTTCTATTCTGACATTCAGTCAGTAGACTTCACACAAAACCAACAGGCTGCGACTACTATCAATAACTGGTGTAAAGAAAAGACCAATAATCGCATTAATAACATCGTTACACCTGGTTAGAATAATTAACTACATTTATACGATAATTATCTACAATTATCTATATTTATACGATAATTTTGAAGATTATCGAAGATAAAGTTTTATTATTTTGACAGTACTTCGTTATAATTCTACATTATAATATATATATTTTAAAGTGACAAGAGACAGCCATGACAAGTGTATTACATCCGACTTCAGAAACATTTGGTTTATTCTCTAAATAAAGAGTTAGTAAAAATTTTCAATCTTTCTCTCAGAAGCATTTATTTCTACGTAGTTATGTGTCGTGAATATTGATTATTTAAAGAGATGACGACAATATAGCCAAGTAGCTATAATATTTTCATAATTTAAAATTTCGTTTATGTCAATAAAGAGAGTTATTCATTTATTTGCTGTTGACCGCTTACCATTTTTAATATAAAATAGTTTACTAGATTTGAGGCTTTCACGGCCATTGATACAATGTCTAGATATAGCTTCCGGAATGGAGCCGTGTCTTGAATCAGCGATATGCATATCGCTGATTCAAGACACGGCTCCATTCCGGAAGCTATATCTAGACATTGTATCAATGGCCGTGAAAGCCTCAAATCTAGTAAACTATTTTATATTAAAAATGGTAAGCGGTCAACAGCAAATAAATGAATAACTCTCTTTATTGACATAAACGAAATTTTAAATTATGAAAATATTATAGCTACTTGGCTATATTGTCGTCATCTCTTTAAATAATCAATATTCACGACACATAACTACGTAGAAATAAATGCTTCTGAGAGAAAGATTGAAAATTTTTACTAACTCTTTATTTAGAGAATAAACCAAATGTTTCTGAAGTCGGATGTAATACACTTGTCATGGCTGTCTCTTGTCACTTTAAAATATATATATTATAATGTAGAAT